GTAATAGAAAATTCTACTGATGGTAAAATCAAAATATTTAACCCTTCATAGGTAAAAATATTTTCTATAACTTCTGTGGGTATCGTGGGTCGTTTATGTCCACGATTAATTCTATTATTGTTTTTGATTTTCAAAAAATCTAACCAAATTATCAGATACTTATCGAAAGCTCTACTTTAACCCTCGGACCATGGAGAGAGCCCCAATTTTAATTTAATTTTGTATTTCATACTAGATTCATTTTCCAAATTTTACACCATATCTCTAAAAATTCTTTCAACACTTGAAATTTGTTTTTAAGAATTATATATCAAACTTTAGGTTAGTATCCTTAATTAGATTAATATCCTTGCAAATGTTTTTGTAAATTTGTGTCCAAGAGTTAAGATATAATCGTTCCTCGAGTCAAATATTTAAATGATTAATTGGAAAAATAAATATTCAGCAGGAATTTGTTTCGGACATAAACGACGCAGTTTGCCCATAAAGGGTTAAATTTTATTATTCTCACTATCATTTCCAATTCATTAAAATTTGAATTTTTCCACTTTATAAGGTGTTCGCGAATGAATTATTTACAGAAAACAAAATATAAATCATTCACATTATCCTCTGTGCGAAAAGGGGTACAGTTGTTACAGTCAACTTAAACGATCGTGCATCAAAGGCAGACGATCCGTGACACAAGCAGCTCAGAGGAAACAGTGAATTTTTTCGTGCAATTAAACAGACCGTCGCATCAGCAGAAAGATCGTAGTCCGCTGGAGAAGTATGTAATTAGGTTAAACGCGACGTAAGAACCTTTAAGGCTGTGTCGCGCGATAAAACAGCTGCGGGGCTCGTTAGTCAGGTCTGCAGTATTACCGTGAAATATAACGACAGTCGCTTTAACTGTGTCGCAAGAAGTCAAGAGTGGACTAATCTACGGTAATAATTTGTCTCGCCAGGAACGTTTCTCTCTTGTTTGGGAGCAATTTTTTGACCGTGCCGCGTTATCCTGTTTGAAATCGAGCAAGGACGTTCACCTAAGAGTCACCTTGCAGTTTGCAATGAACATATATATAATAAAAATTTTTATTATAAGCTAAACTCATGATGGAACAAGAAGATTGAAATTAGTAATTAAACTGAAAATTGAAAATGCATTGCTGCATTGTGTATTCTGCAAAGTTTCTTGCACGAAAACTGATTTATATTCAAGAAGCTTCTATTCTGAATAAATCTCCGCTTTTTAGATTGTTCTTTAATGCATGAAAAGAAGATATTCGAAGTTCGAAGGTCGTCAAGAAACTTTGTTGGATGTTTTGAAAAAATGTTTTCTATTAACCACTGTATAAATATAAAACAACGAAAGTTTACTTTAGAGCAGACAAAATTATTGACCCTTTTTTTACATATTCTAAAAATTGAAAAATACGAACTTTGTTTTAAAATTAATTATATAGAATGCTTTTGTAATCCACCCGATTTGTTTCTTTTTTAATAAAGCATCATTTAATACCTGGAGAAATTTTTCAGAAAATCTCTCCCTTTTATTTCTCACGGTATTAGCATGCGATGTTGATCGCGTGCCACGCTCACAACCACCTTTACGAGCTCGGAAAATAAATTCACCCTCGGCAAGGTAAGAAAGCCATGTCTTGGAATCGTAATAAAATCCACGGGGTGAATTATGGCCGTAGGATGAAGGGGTGACAGTGGAATAAACTCGCGTCGTTATTCGTCAGAAGAAGCTGGAACCTAATACACGACCGGTTCTGGCCTCCGGCAATTTCTGCCTTCAACATTTTCCGCCGGATGTTCCTGCCCGACTAAGAAGAAACAATTTGTCAAAAGAGAATAAATTGGGGTAGCGAAAATGGGCGAAGATGCAAATATCTCCTAAACGTTGAATACATTTTTACTGGCATAATATTGTAACATAATAAAATTGTATGAATTTAACGATCGATGAAATGAAAATTTTAATTAAATTTGAATTTGGTGTAATTGGGTGAAATTAATGAAACGTGTCCAAAATGTGTGATACATGCAAAAATAACATTTGTAATTGTGTAAATTGAATATGTGTAAAATGTTCATAATGAAATTATAAAATTTAAAATAATTTAAAATAATAAAATTATAAAATTTCACAGTATTCTATCTTTTACATATTTTAGTTTTGATTTTTACATGTAACTCATTTGAATAGTCCAGTAAATAATATTTAACTCTTGTGAATCATTAACATTTTTTATCACACCTGAACTATATAATTTGCATATATCAGAAAAAATAATATTTTACTAGATGAATATATTTTTCAAATATCTTTATTAAGTTTTATTAAGAAATTGTTAAATATTGAATTTCTGCGCTGGGTCAATTTAACACGAATGGTGCACAAGGATTAAAATATTAGCTATTGAATTATTTTTCAATTCTTACTCCATTGTTCTCCAGGTGAATTCATAAATGTCAACATGGAGAATCTCACACGTGCGAACGAGTTTCTTATCCTCCCAAACGATACGATATCCTCCGGATAGTCGTTTTACGATATCGGTGAGCATAAAGCCGCGGTGTGTTCTTTATCAGCCCACTTTTGCGTCACTCTAAAGGGACAAAACTCGCATTTTCGATCGTTCGCGATTGCTTATCTCTTATCGTTTCGCTAAAGCCCGCTAAACCGCTCTGGGGAAAGGAGTTAAGCGAACGAAAGATTTTCTCTGAACTTCTACACGACGTCAGCTAACTTTGAACGTGGTTGATCGAGCGAAGCAAGAAACACGATCGTCGTGAGACGTGATAAGGTAGATGCAGGTGTTCAGCTCTTCCGATAAAGATGTAGATCGGTTAAATGTATGCTGAATTATACACGTGTAACTGAATTATTAACACGTTAACGGCCACATTAAACGTGCTCCAAATTCTACCAAGCAGTAATTATACTTTTACTGAATTCATTTATCATTTTAATAATATTCTAATTTATATTTTTAACCATTTTCACTCCAAAGCTTTTTAATTTTCATTTCACGAATTTGATAATTATAAACAGAATTTTGCCATTTCTATTTTCGTAAAAATTATATTATGGCAGCGTAATTATTATTCCGAGTGCAAAGAATTCTTTTATTTTAATTTTCCTTTTAACACATTGACTGTCACAGTAGAAAAGACCACGTATAGTCGGGCATACTAAACCTGTAATTATTAAAGAAAGGACCAGTTAATTTTCAAATGTCAGCTTCTAAATCTGTACCTCCCATTATTAATATAGTACTGAAATTATTTAAAGTTTGCTTTCTTTTTTCTTTCACTAATTATTTAATTATACAAAATAATTCTGAATATCTAAAAACACTGTTTTTTAAATTAAATTTAAATTTAAATTTAATTTAAAAAACAGTGTTTTTAGATATTCAGAATTAAGTAAATAAGAAAATTCCTTACAAAGTGGTTGACAGATCTCTACGGAAATTTTTGATGGTGAGAATCCATGAAAAGAAGATGCCACGCTATTTCGCATCCAAACGACCCAACTTGTCGCGCGTTATCGAATGACGAAGAGGACGCAAAGTTCGTTGTATACATATATGTACCGCAGAGGGGATTTTTCACACTATCGAGCGCGCGCAACGTGCGGTTAGGCGATGACGCGGGTGCGAAACGGGTCTACGACTTTTCTCGAGACGCGGGAGGGCTGCAGCTAGTTGAAAAGATGTCAGATAAGGCTGATGCCGGTGTAGGTGCGAGGCTCGACGCTGCAGTTGCAGCTGCTGTTGCCGCAGAATCGCCGCAGGGGACGAACCGAACGTGACCGGCGATACTAGCCACGACCGAACGTTGCAACACGTTCGACCAACGTCGAATTTTCTACGCTCGATTCTGCTTACGAGACACCCGAGGCTTACCAGCCAAGTCGAAGAGGAAAACTTTTTGACATATGTATGTCAAAAATTCAAAAGAATTAATATCGAGTCACGAAAGAGTAGAAATACTTTAATAAAGGAAATATTATATCACCTAACATTTGTTATGCATTGTATTATAAAATTTAAATTTTGAGAAAAAGGAAAATTATCTTTCCTTATAGTGTATTATTACTGCTTAATGAAGTAATAATAATGTTGCAACTCTTAATTAGAATTATCTTAATGAAACTGAGACTTCATTAAAATGATGGTGTATCAAATGTTTAAAATTAAAAGGCTGAAATTTTCTGAAATATTACCTAAACAGAGGATTGGGTAATAAAAATTGTCAAGAAAATTTATGGACCATGAATCAATCAGCCAGTAGGATCGTAATCGATGCCCGTGAGCGTTCTTCGGCCAATATCCTTCCTGTCGTCCTCGAGGAATCGTTATACATACTCTCTAAAATGTCCATTTCCTATCCACGTAAACCGATAACTATGATTCACGATGTCGAAGAGCCGTTATTGGAAGGAGATGGTCGCGTCGTAACAAATTCTCAGTCGAACAGTTGCAGTTCGCTTTGCCGCGAAATCACGGCGCAAGGTGCAATAAAACACCGGAAATTGCCATTTACCGGCCGGGTCCCCTCTTTCACTGTCCGGAGAAAAGCTCATTAGTCGGTGGCTCGATTTCACGGACGTTACACGACCATTCAGCGACCAGAATTTCTTTCGACGTAACGAGAGAAAAATCAGCCCGCAGCGAGAATATCGTCGACGCAAAAGCGTCCTCCTTTTCTTCTTCTTATTTCCAGAAAAAAAAAACATGCCATAATATCGCGAGATGAGATGTTCCTTTTGTACGCGATATGCCGTCCATCAACTTATTCACCGCACACCGAAATGGAAAAGGGTGGAACGTTAGAAAAACTGTCCTACATACGAGGGTGAACCTGAACGAACAAAGCTGGACGTTCGACATTTTTTGCTCCATAGAAACGTGTCTTTCGGTATAGGATACAAGAGGAGGAAGGAAATTGCAGACAGGACGAGAGACGTCTACTTCTTGCTAGGGGTTGTCAAAATGCTAGCTTACCTTCTAGGTTCGCCATCGAGAACCTATAGCTGTCAATTCTCGGTGTGTTGATGTCCGAGTTGAAAGGCCTGAGGGTCGCTGAGCTCACATTGTCCAGACCCTAAAACATCAATTTAGTTGAATGTTAGTGATGGTAGATAATTATATTCTCGTTTTTCAGCTAAAATATTGTGTAATCCTTAATTTATGAGCAAGGGTTCAAGAGGCACTGATACAATTTCAATACTGTTTCTTTCTTTTTGTATATATTCCCACTGATTTCTATAAATGTTGTTAAACAACGCTATCAGTGAAAAATTTATCTGAATTCTAATTTCATTAATTGGAGGTATAATAATTGTATTTAATTATTTTACTAGAATAATTAATTAAATAATGTTACCATTGAAAAGTGTATCTGTTTCTACTTTAGTATCAGTGCAATAAAAATTCCACTGCACTGATTAAAAATTAATTAATAAAAAATATTTGTCAAATGTTAAGCTTCAAATTGATATACCATAAATACTATTTTACAATACTTTTAACCCTCTATAAATATTATTTATTTATAGTAAAAGAAGTAATGATTCTATTCTTCAAAGCATCTATTATAAATCTTTACTGTCTACATTCAGAGCAGTGTTTTGTATCAAGAATATAATGCAATAAGTACGGGATTATAAATTACTATGACAATTATGTTTAGACAAACATATGTGTTCATCGTCTGCAAAGGGTTAATTCATAATTAGAACGTAAAATTTCCGTTCTAAAATTGAATTCTGAATTTCTACTCTAAATCTCATTTGTTCAAACGTCAAGAAGAACCCAATCCACAGAAAACCATCCACAATACAAATTTAGATTTCCTTTCACCCATCAATTCTGCGTTTCAAAACCGTGCGTTCAGTTGAAGGTAAATTTATTTACCACCCCGGAACGATTGCGTTTCACGAAGGAAACACAGAGCCCGTCAAAAGACTGGCAACGGAAGCGGATCTGGAAACGCGAGTTGAATTCATCCCGGCACCTGCTTTCAATGTTCCTAGCTACGAGTCCGCTCGATCGGTAATCCATTTGGTATCCGTTTTACGCTCTCAGCTCAACTGAAAATGCGATTTGCGCGAGACTCTGGATTCGTTCACCCAATTTCCTTCTGGCCAATAATTCCGCTGCTTTCCGATCAGTTTCACGACACCGCTGAGCGCGACGAAATTTCGCGACGCTGCTGTTTTTCACGCGAAAACGGTCGCATCGTGGATGAAATACGGGCCAGAGTTAGCGAGGGTTGCGGTACAGACAACTGGAAAACTTCCAGGCTGTTCAATTGTTTTGTAGCTACGTGGCCTGAACGATAACGACTCGTCGAACCGACGAGTTGGCTCCGATACTGGCTGCCTCTTGTATCGTTCCGCTTCTGGAGAAACTTTATGCAAGGGATGTTTGCACGCTAGTAAGTTTGCCCTTTTCTTGGTGCGCTGGAATGTTATCGAAGAACGTTTTAATATTCGAAATTTTCTTCTCGAACGTGTAGATAATTGTGGAAAATGTTTAACCCTACTTTGAGTGAAACCCCTAACTGGCGAAGTGGGGTCAATTGTTCTATTTCTTCGACTAATTATTAGATAAAAACATAATTGAGCTGAACAGAGATCAAAGTGGATTCAAAATACTCCAATTTTTGAATCTGTTAAAATTTTAATGCTCTAGCACTCAACTGATGTTCAGCTTTTTATATTTTATTAATTTCTTTACTTTTTTCGAGTTAATTAATTTGGCAAATAGACAGCTCAATTATTCTAAAAATACAAATACATAAGTAATAAATTAAAAAATATTGTACGAAGGAAAATTAAACAGACACTTGATCGTAGTGTCTTTAAAAATTTCGTTGTACCTCAAAAACCATATCACCAATTAACACGTTGAATACCGCAGTATTGAAGTTCTAATTATTAAGAATAGGAATAGTTAATTTTCAAATTTCAAAGTTCAAGCTTCCTATTTGCTACTTTACATTATTTTATCTATTTTTTTCCATGGATTTCTTTTAATTATTCAGGCATGTGTAATTTGTGGTGCATGTGTAACTCATCGGTGGCCCCCACGGCATTTAACGTGTTAAGATATTAAATATTAAATAATCATAATAACCATAATTATCAACACTGTCCAACATAAATATATGTGACTTCCATTTATCAAAAATTAAATTTAAATAAAGATATTCAAATTCCAATGAAGATACCGTTGTTTTTCATTAGAAGAAATTCTGTAAATTCTAGCAACAGAATTCTTGTGTCTGTAGAAAAATACATTTCGAAAATTTCTGTCCAGCTCAAAGATCCGCTTCTCTCGCGATGGCGTACGGCTAGCGGACTTCCGCGTTTTGAACCATTAGCTGTAAATAATGCGAGAGAGCCAAGTTGCCTGCTCGGCCGTGTGTGTACATGCAACGTTCTACGGCGGTTAATCAAGCAACAGCTCCACACGGTGAGCACACAATGCCTCTAGCCACGACACATACATACACACACACACACACGTTTGTGACAAAACGTTCCAACGAACAGGAGAAAACTGGGCTGGCCGTGTGTACACCATGTACACGTTCCGCTACGCCCGATAGATCGCCTCTTCTCTTCTCTTCGCCTCACTTCGAGCCTACTCTTTCCTCTCTGTGTGTACCCGAGGGCACACGGGATCCCATGGGTCGTTCTATCGGCGATTCTTCGACGGCTGAGAGCGTGCTTGCGAGTGAAGCGACTGGAAGCGCAGGGGTTGTTCGTAAACGATAGGGTGAAGTCGCTTGAAACTGCTTAGAACGCCTGATAATTACTTTGCAGCCTGATACGGGCACAAAGGACGAGATTCTTGATGTTTTTCAAACGTGTTTATCAGAACAGTTTCAATCTTTCACGCGCTTTCGCATGGAAACTGTCCATTATACGAAGGATACTATCAGCATGTTACTGGAAAGTCTGATACGATATGATGACATAAAATTATTGCAAAATAGCACTTGTCGTATATCAATTTAAAGCTTAAGATTTTGTGCAAATAACTGTATAAATAGTTCGTTAATATTCATAATATAAAAAAAGCTGGGGCTATTTATAGCAAGCGATGATCAATATTGAAACATAGAAAGTTTGTCACGGTTCGATGATATAAAATTGAATAAAAATAAAGCGATTATATGAAAATGGATACATTCACAGATAGCAGTATAATTTTTATGAATTTTCATAGCAGCTTGCTGCATCAAGATCCTGGGAAACTGTGATATCAAAGCATACCAAGCTTGTACATAGCTATGTTACGGATCATTGATCATCAATTTCTAGTTGTAATTCATCGTTCCGACAGGACCAAAGCTGTAAAGCTATTAATATCTTTGATTTGTGTAAGCTGCAATTCGTTTATGCAGTACTACTCCCAGAAGACAACCATATTTTTCATTACCAAAGTACACTAATTATAATTCCTGCAGAAGCTTCATTTGATTTCGAATATACAAATTTAATAATTTCAATAGGTATACTTTGTTTCACATCAAAATTGCAATTCATAATTTATTCCCCTTTTTGAACATTTCTGTGGGGTCCTATGGATTCAATAATGCCATTGTATCCACGCGATACAATGACCAGTATGCATGTTACGGGTTAAACAGAGGTAAAGAGCAAAATACCCATGAAAAATAAAGAAATGTTCATTTTCGAGATCAGTGAGGCGCATCAAGCCCGATAAATCGAGGCTGGCGAACGAAAAAGGGTCTCGCTCGCGTTACACAGCAGTATCGGCTAGTCTCCCATTGGCTTGACCATTGGTGTGGGTGTGAATGTGGTGAACGACCCGGTAACCACCATTCGGCCAACAGGCACAACAATTAGATTCGAGTGGATAAGCCGACTCTTCCTGTAATGCGAAACTCGTGGATATTATGCTCGTCGTATCTCTCGCGCATTGTCACGGATATTCAGCCGTGTTATTGACGTGCGCACGGTCAAGATACCACGCCGCGATAAGGCTACGAATTTCTCGAGATACTCTCTTGCCAATTGCCCGCCGAGAAGTTAATCGATCCTCAAAGCAATTCTCGAAAAGCGGCCGAGCACCGAGGTACGGCCGAGCGGAATGTTATCCGTCTGTTGAATGTGCTATTCGAAAAGTATCGGACCGAGTCGAGTTACCGGACGATTCCGGAGAACGAGACAACTATCCAAAGTGAAGGGAACAAGCGTGCACTTGGCGGACTAATATGCAAAATCAACGGACAATTCGGCATGTTTGAACTTTCAGTGTCGCGTTTCTTAGCGGTCTTTATTCTGCGTGGGTCGTTTTAAGCGACGTATGTATATTTATGTCACTGAAAAATGGTAAATGATTGCTGAGACATAATGGAATACTGGAATTTTTTTGAAAGGTTGTTGTATGTTAAATAGATTTCGAAACATAGAAAGTCTGACATAATTTTATGACATAAAAGTGTTACGAAATAGCTCATATGGTATACCAATTTAAAGTTCAGAGTTTGATAAAAATGGGTATATAAAGGTTTCATTAATATTCTTAATATAAAATGGATGATTGTTAAGTAAAGAAAACAATGACCAATTTTGAAATATATAAAATTTTAAATAATTTTATGACATAAAAGTGTTACGAAATAGCTCCTGTGGTATACCAATTTAAAATTCAAAGTTTGATAAAAATGTCTATATAAAGGTTTCATTAATATTCTTAATATAAAATGGCTGATTGTCAGGCAAAACAAACAATGACCAATTTTAAAACGTATAGAATCTGACATAATTTCATGGCATAAAAGTATTGCAAAATAACAAATAAGGTACATAAATTCGAAGCTTAAAATTGAATGAACACAATGACATAAGGTCCCATCAATACTCTTACTACAAAATGGCTAGTTGCTCGTTGAAACAATAGCTTCAGTTTCATATTATCCATTAGCGAATATTCAATTTCCGTTCGCTTGTATCTCAAAATGGTAATGAATGAATTAATTAATACGAATATCGAGGAAATGTAATACAATGTCAAACCTTCCACGTTTCATATTTGGATATTTTAAAGAATTAAATAATTGCCATT